GTTGGGAATGACCCTTCACTCATTTTGTTCCCATACACTGAACAGGCTCGAGTGAGTTGGTATCGTTAATCAGGCATGGGTCAGTTGCTTGGATACAGTACTCGACTAGCTCGACAGCTTCTACACAAGCCCAAAGTTTGAAACCTTGTTCACCGCTTTGTTAAAGTCTATAAATATCACATTGACGGGCAGACAGTTATCTAAAGCTGCTGTCCGATTCTCTCTTGCAATATATGGTCAAGCATGAATGCTTGTCTCGAAACCCGTGTTGCCCGGGAGTTACCAGATTGTACGATTCTATGTGATCTAGTAACTTAACCCGAATTATCTTTCCAAGTAACTTGACGACTATGCTGGTTAGACTGACAGGTTGGTAGTTAGATACGATCTGTCTCTGACCATTTTAAATACAGGACTGACTATAGCATCTCTCCAATCTCTGAGGACTTGAGTGCGGGAAAGAGACATGTTGAAGATCGTCGCGAGTGGTATTGAAATCATTTTCGCGAGAGATTACAGCAGTCGTGGATTTAACCCATTGGGGTCCGGTATCTTACAAGGTTTGAAGTTAGTGATCAATCGGAGGACAGTTTTCTCAGTCATACTTACGGGTCCTATGGCTGGCATCTCAACGGTGTGATTAGGACAGGTATTTGTAATAATGCATCTATAGTCGACTTTGGTAAAATAGTTTGAAAAAGTCTCGGCTTTTGCCAGATCTGATCCAGCTAGTAAATCTGAATTTTCGTGTAACACGAAGGGGGTACCATCACTACTCTTTGTTCTCCATTTAACATAGGAAAACAATCATTTTGGGTCGCTCATAAGCAATAGGAACAGAATTAACCCAATTATTGAACCAAGTCACTTCGATTCTCTGTTACCGCGTCTACCATTGTCGGTTTTCCCTAGGTATTACATGTTGAATATAAATCTTATTTGTAATTATATGTCCAACTCCAAAGATTATGTGGCTAGGAACCATTACTACCATACAACTCTCTCATTAGGATCAACGTGACGTTAGTTCGGTACCAAATCAAGTGAGACTATTGCGCGCCGCAATTACCAAGAAAACAATAAGAATCCACTGGGTACAGATAAACTAGAAAGTCAATCAAAGGTGAAGCAGCAGCAACTGATCAGGAAATATATATAGTAGTTTCAAAATGCTTAGTTTCATTCGTAACATGCGCAAAGTGAAAATCCACGTGAAAATTGTTCAGAGGCACGGTATGTCTGAACATCCATGTGAGATTGTGAGTCAAATTCAACCTAAGGCAAGAGGTTGGTATGCTTTCGAGCATCCCGGATTCTCTTTGATTATGCGAGTTTCAAAAGCTATGATACTAATATTACGGCTGAAGAGGATAGATTTGTCAGTGAACAGAGATATAACGGATTGGCGGTAATTGGGTTGGAATTCTCCAGTCAGAGGCATAAAAATATCATTGTGAGAACTGTGTACCATGAGGTAATCCCAACCCAATATTTACTGTTTTGTACCTATTTCTTAACGAAGTTATACAAAGGTTTGCTGTTGATTATCGTAGACTTCAGCAATCTGGAATGATAACTTATTCTATCATATCTGCTTATCAGCGTATATCTATTGCGTGAAGACCTATCGTAAGACCAGCAATCTTTGACGTCGCTTCAAAAAACATTATTTTGCGAAAGTTTATCAGGTACTGGACTTTAAACTGAGGGGATCTGAATGGTTTAGCATGTGACTGACACAGGAGAGTGTGTTGATCAGTGTATTGAAGAAGCTTGTGCTGAAGGATTTAAGTTGTTCAGATGATTGTGGATGGAATAGACGAAGCTTTCGCTTAACGGGCTTCCGTGTCTGGTAGCAGTGGATCACCAATACCTCCAGGCAAGAACCTAGGTATATTAACGATAATAGAGGAAAAAAGAAATTGGCAAATCATAATAAGAAGGTATCCTTAGTCCTTAAGAATAGATCAAGTTTCCCCTTAAAGGACTCCTGGAAAGTCGTTTGGACTAGCTCGGCCGGCAGCGAATTCCAGCATTTGACAACTCTTAAGGAGTAGAAGTTGTGTCTACAGTCTGTTCTGCTATGTTGTGTCTCCAGTTTTTGGGTGTTACCCCTTAGGTTAGTGTTCGAACTAAGCTTAAGTAGGTGTTTAAGAGGATGTCCAGAAGTGTTGAGGATACTATAAGCCATCAGGAGGTCACCTCTAAGACGTCTATACTCTAATGGGTAAAGGTTAAGTGAATGGAGGTGCTCTTCGTAAGGTTTAAATTTGAGTCCTCGAACCGATTTCGTGGCTCTCCGTTGGATACGCTCCAGGGTGTTCTTATCCTTTTGGAGTGACGGGGGGAATACTATGCTTCCGTACTCTAAATGATGACGGATAAAACTATTGAAGATTATGTGGAAAGTTCTTCTGTCAAACTGGCCAAAAATGCTCTTCAATGTTACCAGTGTAAGGTTTGCTCGAAAGACATTTTTGTTACAGTTAGGGGAGACTTTAAATCGTAGAGTACCAGGACTACTAAGTCTTTTTCGACTCCAGATACTACTAGAGAGGAGTTCCTTAGGTTATCACTGTAGTCTGCGACATGTCGCAGATGGACTACTTTACACTTCGAAGTGTCAAAGGTAAGTCCGTCATAGTCTGCCCAACTTTGAATTCGAGTCAGATCCCCCTGAAGTGCCTGTATATCGTCTTGGTTGAGTATCTCTCTCCAAAGTTTCACGTCGTCGGCAAAAAGTAATAAGTCTGACGTTACCTGTTGAGGAAGATCATTTGTGTAGATCAAGAAGAGAAGAGGTCCTAGTACTGGGCCCTGGGGTACCCCACTAGGACATTCCATAGCCTGAGATAAAGTAAAGTTAACCCTGACCCTAAAATGAAGTGAGCCAATCAGTTAGAGGTGGTCTGACACCCAATCTTTTGAGCTTATTGATAAGACATGTATGGTTGACCCTATCATAAACTTTTGAGAAATCAAGGTTAATGACATTAACCTTCCCTTTGTGATCAAGGATGCTTGTCCATCTGTCCACCGCAGTCAGCAGGTTGGCTGTACAGGAGTGACCCTTCCTGAAACCATACTGTTGGGGTGAGAAGAAATTTAAGGACAGTAGATAGTCGTTTAAACCGTCGCATATCAGGGACTCCATGATTTTTGAGGGTATATAGAGAAGAGCCACAGGTCGGTAACTTGAAGGTTCGCTGCGTCGACCTCCTTTGAAAATTGGTGTGATGTGAGCCAACTTCCAATTTTCCGGTAATTTGCCTCGGCTTAGCGAGTGTGAGAATATCACGCTAAGCGGCGTTGCCAAGATTGAAGCTGCTTCCCTCAGTATGGCAGAATGGACCATGTCCGGGCCAGGAGAAGTGTCTAATCCTAAGTGCTGCAGTTTCCGGAACACCAAGTCAGTGCTTAGGTTCACTTCGGAAAGTCCTGTGGAATTGCAAACGAAACTGTCATCAGTAAAGTTACTGTCGGTCGGTTGGAATGTCTGGGAGTAATGTTCAGCCAGAAGGTTAGCGGTGTGGCCATCGTTGTTGGTCGGGCCGTTAAGAACTAGCAGTTGGGAAACTCCAGTTTTAGCTTGACGAAGAGAGGCTGCATAACGGAATAAACTTTTAGGATCAGAGACAAATTTGTCCATAAGCTTTATCTGGTACTGAAGCCTATCTTCTCTTATAGCCTTCGTGCATATGTTCCTGATATGCTTATATTGCCTGTACGCTCCGTTGTTGTCAGTTCATATGTACTCTGCCCAACAGTGTTTTTCGCGGCTTAGCAGGCGAAGAGTGCGGTTCCTGATGATTGTGGGTTGCTGGTAACTATGGGGAACCGTTTGAGGAACTGAATGATTTGTAGCACATATGAGTGTGCAGTAAGAAGTCCCAGTGAGTATCCACATCGAGTTGAGGGTGAACATCCCAATCCACCTGTTGCAGATAGTCCTGTGGAGCTGACAAATTCAGCAGTTTGAAATTCCAGCGCAAGTTGTTGGTGGGATATCTTAGCTCAGTTTTGCTGACAAAACTGAAAGCTATGACGGCGTTATCGCTTTTTCCCAGGGGAGCCAGGATTGAGAAATTGTCAGCTAGGAATCGTTCGTTTGTAAATACACAGTCTAAGCGCGATGGTGTCTGACTGTTTCTCCAACGAGTTGCCGACTTTACATTTTCGTATAATCGCAAGTCCTCAATGAGGTTGAAGAACCGTGCTTCATTTGAGTTTTCACCTCCAATATACATATGTTCCGTGAAGTTGACTCTAGGGAGATTGAAGTCCTCTACAATCAGGATATGAGTGAAACCGAGATGGGTAGAGCGGGATAGTTCTTCCGGCATACGACTGTCGTACTCGATGTCGGCGGTGGGCTTCCTATATATAACTCCGACTAGACACCTCGAAGTAGTAGACAATCTTACAGAGTACCATATGGATTCCTCAAGATTGTTAAACTCGAGGTTGGGAACTTGATGCATCTCCAAGCAAGAACGTATGTAAACAGCTACTCCGCCCCCAATTCCTGACTTTCTGTCTCTGCGAAACAAAGACATCCCAGGTACTGCTAACTCCTGGTTCGAGAACTGAGAAGATATCCAAGTTTCAGTTATTCCTATCAGATGAGCCTTATTAGTATTGCTAAGTTCACGTAGTTCATCCATTTTGTTTGGTAGACTCGCGGCGTTCATGTATAAGCAGTTTATGCTTTCAATTTGGAACGCATGAGGTTCTTCCTGTTTGTCTCTATGTTCACTGATTTCTCAAAACGCGCACGCAACCTGACTGATTTCCACAATCTGGAGCTATTGGTACAGATAGTTTGGGCTTCTACTCTGTCTGCTGAAGATCATGTCTTTGTTTCAGTAAACCTGTAGATTGAATATGATCAGTTCGCGCCAAACCATCTTGTGGACAGGTGACATCCGGCGTACATATTAGCCATAGTTTGTTGCGTGTTTCATTAGTGAACTCTAGTTAACTTGTTATTATTTGAAAATATGGCATGTGCTACGCTTAAACGAACCCATAACTTTGACATCATGGAAGCGACTTGTTCCAAAAGAAGGCGATACCAAGCTTTAACTCGGAACTGCAACACGGAAGCAGCAGCGTCAGAATCCCCATTCATCCCGAAGGAGTTATCAACCCAAAGTACGTTCGCTAAATTCCAAATTTATTGTTTGCCTGTCAAGTGTTTGGGAGTCACATCTTAAACGATATCCAAACATCGTGTGGATAAATAAATTAAGCCAGTGCTTCCTAATCACGCATCATTAAGCATATAAATCGAATTGGTCAGTGTCCGGTGTTTTATTTCTGCTGTTGTTGAGTATCTTTCTGTGTGGTATTATTCATGAACCAAACTAATGCACAAAATATCTGGGTCGGTGGAGTCGACTAGTTTTTGTGTAGTATGTACTTTGTGTACTCACACCACTTCTCAAGTGTCAGCCCCGGGTCGCTTATTATTTCAGTCAGTGTGCAAATAAAGGTCAGGACACTAGGTACGGTCTCATCATGGTAAGCTCTGTGAAAAACTCCTCACTTATTAACCCAGCTTTTGTTATCATAGGGCTTTTTGTTTCCTTCATCATCTAGTGACAGGGGTCCTTGTTCTTTTGACTAGGGTCCACGGTTTAGTGTGTGTCAAGAACTGGTTCAGGTTTCGCTTGCCATTACCTGCCCAATTAGAGAACAATAGAAGGGTAGCACTACTTAGTAGGTTAACTTAGGAGAATTGACTTCTGTTTCATGAGTTGAGTGATATCCTGGCTTATGACTAAGTGCTAGATGTCAATTACCACAGTTCTTAAAAAAGACATACTACATGTATTTATTTGACTAGGGTTTTCAAGCCTTTTGTGTTCACAAACTATAGTTCTGGTCATGGGTGTGTTAATTATAGCTTTACCCTTCGAAAAGTTCAGTACACCGACTCCAGATTGTAGTTTTTCTTGACCATATAGCATCGTCGAACTCAATCAGTCGAGGGGATCTTCGGCAGTTTTCATCACTGAAGGGTGTTCTAGTCAAGTCCATAAACCTAAAGATTTACTCGAACACCAGTGCTCAAATTAAGGCATACTGAAGGCTCTTCACTATCGCCAGCTTCAAATGGTATTTGTCAGGATCGCATGTCGGATACACTATTTGATTTCTCCTTAGTTGTCTTCCAGAAAACTCAGACTGGTTGTAACTGGTCTATCAGCAAATACTTGTGCGTGTTAACTCTTGCACTAATTTCTGTCTCTAATGTTCGATTCTGTAGCTCAATTGAAACGGCGCATCAAGGAGGAAATCAAACGTCTACAACGACGTCGTTTGATACCACGATTTCTTGGAGGTCCCACCCCGGCAATAACTGCGACATTCGCCGGTCATGCAAAGGATGAAAACGTGGGTGAGTTGTTACCCTTATCTATGGAATCAGTTCAGTCCATGTGTATAAAATTGTAGCCATCTAAATACTGACAGCGAGGTCTTTTTGTTCTAATACAAATAATTACGAATACTAGGTTTAGTCGTTCTATGTATTACTACAGATTGTTCATAATCCAGTTAGTATTTTACTCTAATGAGATGTAACTAGCTGTTTCACAGTGTTTACAAAGTTGAGAGGATGGAAAGCGAATGCCCAACCACTTAACGGGGTTGTTGATTAGGGAAGATCCACCTTGGGGAGTTGAAAAACCTTGGTTCCAAACCAATGTTGCATATGGGCTCCAGTATCCTGAAGGAACAAATGGCGTATAAACCAATTATTGGTCACCGGTTACTATGGGACTGCGTCTCCCAACGTCGCTCTACTGTTTTGTGGATCAGGTTCAAGGCTCGGGGTGTGGCCCCCTAAGAAAAACACCTGCTTAGGTTTGGGTGTCCAGGTGGTATCCCAGCCCTCACAGAAATCGAGTGGTTTGTGTGGCGCATATGTATTTAGTGCCGCCTTATACCAATGTTGATGTTTAAATAAATGTTTTTGAGATTGTGATTCGTAGCTCAGGTGGATGATTTTGATGGAGTTGTGTTCTCGGCTGGATGATCTGGTCGACCAGCTCAGAACAAAACTCCAGTCAGTCAGTAACAACGTAGAGCTTCGTACGTACGTACATCAGTTCGAGTTGCCACACCACATTAGCACAGAGATGCAGTTGTCGATTCAAATCCCATAGTGGTAGAGGTAATAAGAGTATAAGCAGTAATCGGGAAGATTAGGGTTTGGAGATGGAAACATAAATGTTTCACGGTTAGTATAAGTTTAGGACTTGGCCTATTTACTTAGTTTCAGTTTCTAAATTTTCTCTTATAACCTACAAATTAGTCAATGGCTTGTTTGTTGCTTATTAAAACCGGTTCCAAATTTAGTAAATATCATGATCGTAATATGAGATTTACCCAACCGATTCAAGATACTTCTATGGGAATCTTGAAGCATTCATTTGTCTCATGATTTTTTGCTCAGCAGTAAACATTCTTTTACGAACGATTGCTAACCATTTACTTTAAAAAGTATACTCACATAACTAATAAGCTAAATGTTATGGACAATTGGTTGGTGATTTGCTTCACGTTTGTACGGCAGTCATTTCGATAAAGGAGTTATAGATCCTACTAATTATTTAGGACATGTCTTAAGAAGTTGGTTTGTAGATATGGTTACAACGAAAATAAATGTATTCAAGATCATTCCAAAAAGTTTCGCTTTACTGTGTTATACTCTATCCGATGTTGTAAAACTGCTTAAAAATTTGTGACATTTGTATTTGTTACCTTTGTAATATTTTGAGAATAGTCATTTTATGTTTGAAGGTTTTGGATGTCGCAGTTATTACCTGATTAAGTTGAATAATCCTTTTCACTTCTAAAACAATAAAATAGGACTTGTACGTGGCATGCCAAGATATAACTAGTTTTCTATCTTATAAACAAGGTTTTTTCTTATTTCATATATTTTCTTGCATTAGTTGCTTCGTGCAGTGGTAGTTTTCGATCCATGGCATTGCGGTCACCTACTTCAGATAGTCAAGACTCGGATAGTGATCAGTCACCTTTGCGTACCAGTGAACCGATATTCCAAACACTTGAGAATGTCTCAGTTGTCTCCTCACAATCTTCTTTGAAACCTACACATACCATCGATTCAATGCCGATCTTCACCTTACCCCAGGTTACGGCTCTTTGTGAGCGCTTAATCAAAGAACGAGAAGCAGAGTTACGAGAAGAGTATGACAGTATATTATCTTGTAAATTAGCAGGTTAGTTCACAATTTGATGGTTAGTGTATACTAGTCTTGAATATGAACTCTTTTCCAAATTTTCTGTCCGGGCAGGCTTAATCTAGGGAAAGTAATAGTTGGTTTTAAATGTTTTTCCTACAAAGGGACTGTGTATGTAGGAATCTAAATATCATTTCATAATCCAGGAACTTCAGTACCAAACATTAACACTGAGTGTCTAGTTAACTGCAGCAACATTTTAAACTCATCTGTCGTAAAGTAGAATTTCATTATTTGCAATAAAGAACGTATACGGTCTAGTAAACAGAATGCTCATCAATGGATGAACGTAGTGGTAAGATGTAACTGGGTGATTGGTGCTCATAAGACTGTATTATCGATTCAGATCTTCCAATGAACTGATGTTAATGGTCATTAATCAGAAGAAAAAGTTGTTTTTTAAATGAAAGTTTGCTTATATACGAATTATTGACAAAAAAATGAACAGGATTAAATGTCATGGGAAATCTGTATTGTAGGTCATCTACTCCATAACAGTTGGGCCCAAGCCCTTCAGTATTAGATTTCTTGTTACAGTCGTAGTTAATTCAGGAACATTATTTGTTAATGTGCCACATGTTATTTATGTCCATAACTAACTAATCAGATCGCCCTTTAAGCACCCAACACGTCAATCTGGTCTAATGTGTCTGTGGACTATCTCTATTGCATATGACCTGCCAATTGAAGGACATTATCCCATTATATTACTGTGACTCATTTTTATTCATTTCATTAAGACACGCAATACTGGTCGGTATGTTCGTGTGTCCCACTCAATGATTATAATTTCTTTAGTTATTGTACGAATCAAATTGTTACTTTTACGTTTAGAAACAGATAAAGTTTATCAAGCCAAATAGCCTACTTGTTCTGACTTGGCTAAGCTAAAACTGTACTCGACAGTCTAGGGAATAGTTAAGAATTACGTATGTAGGCAATTACTTTCTACACCAGATAATGTAATACTTTCGATTGCTTGTAACCACAGACTATCAGCTTGTTCAAATCTGTTTATATTCTGTTGAGAATGTATAACTTTTAAAGAACAGTATTCTATTCAGAAAATTTCAAATATTAGCGTAGTTGCAACAGACTGTCAAGTCTCAGACCATCGTGTGGGTTATCGTCGTATCATTACTAGTCTTAAATGCAACATTATCATTCGTCTGAAAAGTGTAGTGACTTACACTTTCAATACATTTGTACAACAAACCAGTTATTCACAACTCTAGTCTTAATATGACAAGCGAGGCTGCTTGATTTATTAACACTTAAGCTAGTCGGCTTATATACCGATTATTTATTACAAACTTTGTCAGACTGATCGATCATCATAGTTAATTTATGAATACAATAAGGTGTTTTAAAATCAAATAGCTAATTTTATATTGAATAGACTGATACAAACAGGAATTCACTAAAAGTTAGTGGACGAGAATCAGTCTGAATTAATTAACGTGAAAAGTTAAGTTGGTAGACGGAATTCATTTCAAATAAGAACGTTATTTCTAAAACTGAATGTCATATTTCGGGATTCCACATGAACAACAATTTCACATGGAGACTAATTTGACTAACTAGACCGAAAAATACATTCAGACGGATCCGGATTGCCTTATACAATCGATTTGTGCTACAATAACAGTGATATTAGTTCAGCCCAGTCTGTTCTACTGAAATGAAATTTTGATACTTTATGTCAACACTATTCTGCCAGTCAACTATTAAACTACATTACCTGAAGACGTATTTTGCCTAGGCGGTTCTCCACAAAAGTATATATTTCGTTCGCGGTACATACAACAACAACCAGACGTAGGTAAAAAGCGAACCAAAATCCTTAAAGAGGCAAAAGTAAGATTCTCAAAGTAACTGGTTCAACATGGTTAAAACAAAACGTAATTTTTTTAAACCTCTGTCAATTGGATCTTCATTTACATTTTAGAGCAATATGAAGCATTTCTGAAGTTCAATCACGATCAACTCTACAGTCGATTTCAGAACTCCCCAATGAGTTGTAAGTTTTCCATCGTATTTGTTCAGGATGATTGCGTTCTTTTTAGTTGGCTTTGCCGTATTTCCCATTCTAAGTCAAATGATATTTTCCCATACATTGTCCTGAACTCTATGTCTAGGTTCAGTTTATTAGGCAAAGTAATTGTTTATCGAATTTGGCTTTTTGAATGCTTTGATGTTATAGTCTATTTAAGAAATAATCCAAGCAAAGAATCACGCAGAAAATTTGTTTGCTGATTTCATGAATAAATAGGTTTGAAATTTCACTAAAGCAAACTATAACCATGTCCTTCGTTAGATTCATTAGTGATAACGTCTAAATATTTATCGTCACTCAGAAGCCCACACTTTTGTTTGGTTTCTATTGATCATCGACTTAAACACCACCAAAACTTCTAAATCATATTTTCTATCCATTCGATTATCTTTTACAAACAAAGGTGTTCATAGTGCCATTAGCAGTTTTGAAATTCAGTCATCAAAGTGGTTATTTATAGACTTTCACAAATTCTACTCGTTTTTGGTAAGAATTTGGAGCATGCATAAAAAAGATATGGTTAGTAAATTGATTTACGGAAAATTGTTGGAACCAATCGTTTTACAAAGATATCCAACAGGATCGTTAAGTTTACTTTCATATAAAGATAATACTCATAATCTTGGTATAGGTCGTTGCTGGATTCTTCATCGGTAAAAACGGAGTTAAATTTAATTTGACTAAACATTCATCCAAACAAAATGTTTTATTCCTTTATGACCCCTTTTTACGCCAAAATTTTCCCGAGACTGAGCATTCTTTCTGTCGTAAAGTGCAACCGTTATCATAATTAGGGACCCAAATCGCAGATAATTTAAAATGTAATATTTTCAAAACATTTAATTTTTCTTGATTTTATTTCCAGATGTGTCCTGAGAAATGTCACGTAAATCACACGATGGAATTTTCTATCCCCCAAAACTATATACTGCCTTCCATCTGGTACTGCATTATTGTTGGACTGCTTGAGTTATTCTGAAGATGAACTTTAACCTTGTGTTCTTGTTTCTCACGTGCAACCTCAACTGCCTTTTCCCGATCTCTAAGCGTTTGCCAACCACATTGTTTCTTGTGTTTCAAAAATTTATCATAATTGTACTCGTATAGCTAGTACGCGCCATACGTTGCATGTAATGGGAATTGTCAGATCAATGCTCAACTATTTTCTGTATCTCTTACCATATATTCTCTGTGATGAATAATTTTGAAGGCCTGTTAACATACTTAGAAGTTTTATGCCTTTTAAGTTAAGTAAACCTGGTAAATAAATGTGATCGTTCTCAGTTATTTTTTTGCTAGATTAGAATAAAAGAGTTATGGTTCCCAATCCCTTGAGTTTATAAAAGATAGTAATTTAATATGTGCTTTGAAATCTTACTAATATTATCATCGTCAATATTATCTGTAATTAATCATATTTTTACAAAGGATATAATATTCGCCTCCTACTACAGTTTCTGGTACGCTTGTAGTTGTAGCAGGACTGGGTCACTGAACATGTTTTGCCACAAAAATCTAAGAGTAGTAAAAGTACAGTGGATATTTTCTTTATCTGGCCGATGGGAATTAAATACCCGGGAAAACATACTAATGTAAAATAGTGAGAACCCGTGACCAGTGGTCTAGACATGTCGGATGCGATATCTACCGCATGCAGTGAAAGACGATCGCGATGCTGAGCTTAGATATGTACATAATTGGTAGCAAGACTCCATAGTCTAGATGTCAAGAGTTGTCATATGGAACAGAAAACCTTGTAATAGGGACGTGCATGTGAACGGTTGAAGATACCCCGTCGGAATGGAACTCGTCACTATAATTCAACTCCCTTGACTGAGGAGGCGTCTGACGGCGAGGATAGGAGTACCTTCTTGGACACTGATAATAGAAGGTCGTCAACATCATACAGGATTCATGCCACGGACCACGCTGCAGAGCCGTGCATAGAAGACAGCTGACAGGCTCATTCAAAGTGAGTAGCGTAGTCAGATAAAACTGCTTACTGTCACTCTTCTAGCGGTTGACTGGATTATGAAGACTGACATCTGAGGGGAAGCACGGAATACAATCGACAACTAGGCGATTTGAGCTTCTCAGACCATCTGGCACTTCTATTCCATACACACGAACAATTAAGGGTCGAGATAACCAGTTTAGCAGCAGTAAAGGGAAATAACAAGCCCCTCATATACAACATGGAGAACACCAACCCTTTCAAACTTGGTGGCGAAACTCTGGAAGGTGTGGCGACTTTCACGTACCTGGACAGCAGTACCGTCGACGAACAAGAAGGATCTGATGCAGTGATGTAAGGGTGAGAATTGGCAAAGCAATAGCGGTATTGTACAGTTGAACAAAATATGCAACTCGAAGCAACTGTCAACTAATATCAAAGTCGAAATCTTCAGTGCGGACGTCGAGACAGTTGTATGGTACGAAGCTGAAAATTGGAGAACTACAACCATCATCAAAATAGTACAACTATTTCTAAAGAACTGTCCACGTAAGAAACTGAGTGTCTGTTGACCGGATACCGTCAGCAAGGGCTCACTTTGGGAGAAAGCAAACCAGCTTTCAGTTGAAGAGGGAATTAGAAAAAGATGTTGGACGTGGACAGGAAATGCACTGCTGAAATCACCAAACTACATCACAAGGTAAGTGCTGAAGAGAAACGGAACAGTGCAAGGCCAAAGAACACTGCCGAGAATTACAAGCAAGCACGGAAAGGATTGCCCAGGACAGTTTGATGGAGAATGCTGGTGGGCTGCCTATGCTTCTCCACGGTCGGTTACAGTTGTAAGTAAAGAATGCCTCCTGGATCTTGGTGGGAACCAAGCTAAGACTAACTCCTAAGTTCAAATAGCAGTTTTCACTTTTACGACAAAAAATAATAACTCACAAAACCGTAGAATTATGGTACAGTCGCTGTGCCACTGAGTTTTGTTCCTTTGCCTGTAATATCGAACAACAGATCTCATCTAGTCGCAACTACTCTTCATGATCACGATACACTTAAGAAAATCAAATTTAAATGTTTGGTAAACAAAGCTAAGACGTTATTATTCAATCACAACAATGGATTTTCAAATATTCACCATAACACAACTTGCATGTGCATAGGATAGAGGTTCAGGTCAGCTTTCAGTAAATGCACATGTCCGAACAACTTTACACTATTCTGTCTTAGTGTTTATTTATTTAATCACATAAACATTGGTACAAGGGGGCACCAAATATGTATGCGCCACACATTTTCATTACCAATATATTTGTGTGTGGGCTATAATACTTCCTGGGTGCCCAGACCGAAGCAGGTGGTTTTCTTAGGGGGCCACGACCCGAGCCCTGAACCTAAAGGTCTAACCCACAAGGCGATGGAGCATCATGAGAAGATGCTAGCCGGTGACCAACGATTGGTTCATACGCTATTTAATCCCAGGATCCTGGAGCCCATGTGCACCATTGGTTTGGGATCCGGTTAAAGCACCGGACATTCGCTTTTCGTCCTCTCAATTTTGTAAACAACACCCCGCCGCGAGAAGGCAGTGAGTAGGACTTCCCTGGAAAGGGCTGTACACGCGTGGCCATGTGGGAGCATTTCGAAAGGGAGGGCGGGCCCACACCAGGGCATTTGGGGGCCTGTTTTAGTGTTATAGTCACGAACGTTTTGCGACTAATAAAAGACTAAATACGACAATGAACTAGAAACACAAATTAGTATGTACTTACTGTAAGTACTCACGCCGTTTCAAGTAAATTGGTGCTCTACATGTTAAAACTTCAATTAGGCGAAAACGGATGAAAGCACTTGGGTTAAAGCTTCATTCAGAACTCAATAGTAGGGTGTATTTTAGCATCTAAAGTGTGTGCTTCATTTTACTAACTTAGTGTTGGACATGCTGAATCTTCAAACACTAATTCCTTTCGAATATTATCTCAAGACTAACTTGATGCGAAGTGAAATCTGGTTTCTACTGATCCATTCGACATAAAATTAGTCACTTAATTTTAAAATACCTTATTGTATTCGTAAATTCACTGTGACGATTGATGTGAGCTCAAACAATTCCTCTGATGGTCCTTACCAATACATTGTCCTTATAAGACTTCTATTTACTCTTTGATTTAGCAGAGAAGTGTTGTGTCAGTCGTCTGGTTTATTCAATTCACATGGATCCTATTCGCACAAAGAATCTCCTAGTCGTTCAGAATTTAAAAATACAAAACCTTAACTCAAGCCACAACGGTAAGCAAAATAACCAAGGCAACTTAAAAAGTTTTATGGTAGAAACTGGATTGATAAAAAAATGTCAAAACTATGCACAAGGTGAGCATGGAATATAAGAGAAATGTGTGGTTTAAATCCGATTTTATGTAAAGTAATTTCAACATACGTTCCTACACAAAATTCCAATCATTAATATGAAACTGGAGATCATTGTCATTTTCGGTGTTTGTATTACCTGGAATGGATTTCCTTGACCAACTTATTTTAACTGCAACATCAATCCACTGACCCAATAATCGACGACATTGTTCAAGAACTATTTTATCTGGTGATATACCAATATTCTGTAATTCTTTCATCTCGAATATTAGTCCCGTCCACCATGCATCATTATTGATACATGGTCTAAGATCATCATCAACTAAACTATTAATTAAGCCAATGGCATTATGACCTGTGACAGTTAAAATTAAGTTACCGGATGGATCTTCTAAATGAAGGAAGAATAAAGGAAGAATAGATAAACTTCGGTATAAAATAAGAATACAGACGCTTTAACTTACCAAGAACCACACTCGCAAAGTGCTCTGAAAAAGATTTTTAAACAAGGAAAGATAAATATCTGGGCATTGAAAATCAAAATAGGACATCTACGTACGAGTGCAAAACATTTTCGCCGTAGATTGTAAGTGTATGGAAGCAAATCATCTGACCAGACAAGACAAAGTGAATTAGTTGGTATACAGTTACAATGACCTAGGATGAATTTTAGAAAGTATTTAAAAGACAGATTAGATAAGTCAACGTAAAGCCTGGCACGGATGCGTTGCCATAATATCAGCACGACGAGATGGAATGAACAGGATAATAGCATAAGAGATCGGAATAGTGTAGCAGCAATGACAATAAGACTGAAAAAGATGTAGTGGAAAGATATGTATGAAGGGATACTAGAATTCAACGTCGAGAGGAGGACAAAGAGTGAATGCATCTGTGCCACTGTCAACGATTCTGATCTATGCCACCCAGTCTCCAACCGCTGGTTGCGTTAATCTCGCGGACCCGACCACGTAGTCTAGAATTATCAGCATGACTCAGATCAAGTTAATTACTTCATGGACTGATGCCACGTTTCTTTTTAGCCCCCTAACTTAAAAACAAATCCTACATCAGATAACATTGTCCATCGATGTAGTTGGTGACAATGTACATGTAACATGTCCTAACCATCTCAGCTGGTGAAAGTTCATAACCTCCAACGTGATTTACCAACGTCGTCTAGTACCATATGCTTAACTTCAGTAATGATAAATCAACCGTCCTACGAAATGCTAGCAATGCTCCGGAAACACCTACGCATGTCTTTTACTTTTAAGAATAAGTAGTTATAGGAAAAGTAATATAAAACCCCAGTTTTCGTTAATTAGTTAGCATGGGAGAATTGCCATGTTCTGTGAAAATTAAGATATTGTCCTGTCCATGTTGGTTATCTATATATAGCACGTTTGATGGAACCATCATCTCTCCTACTAATCAGGATGTCAAGAAAAGGGAGTTGGTTGTTCTTTTTCTCTTCTTCACATGTAAGAATAATGAGCTTTTGACTACTATTAAATTCTTCTAACAAGCGGTTTATGTCTTCACTTTTATCCCCTATGATTATTATGTCATCTACATATCGTTTATACAGACCCATCTTTCGAATTGAGTCCTCAACTAAATTTTCCACGTATCCCATGAACACGTCAGACAGCAATAGTCCTAGAGGGCTACACATAGCTACACCATCTATTTGTCTGAAGTGTTCACCTTCAAATGTGAATTTTACATTATCTGTACACAATAATAATAAATCTTCAAGAATTAGTTAAATATTGCTAAATGCCACTTTAGTAGTTACTTATGATATTGGAATAAGTAAATTCAAATTAAAGTAACTAACAAGTGATAGGGTTTCCGTTTTTTACACTAAGAATAAACTTGTGTTGTTATATAATTATCTCACTCGAATGATACCAGAAAAATCGAAAATAGAAAACTTGCATCATCGAGCTAGCTTAATAATAGACGTTTGGTAAATGGGACTCTGAAAACTCTAAATTGTTCAGGGTGTTGAAGAAACTGTTTTTTAAGAAATAAGGTATAAAATATTATACTTACTCATCATCATCAGAGATACTGGAACCCCTGATTGAAAAGGAACAATTACTACATGTTAATAGTAAGCAATCTTTTAACGTTTTAACATCCAGTGGAGCAATATCAATTACTCGAGCACATAATCGGGTGTAAACAACATTGAGATCTGATGAGCTGAGTAGCAAATCAGTACAGGTTAGCCAACTGTCAGGAGGAATAGGTGGAATAAATTCTGTTTGTATAGGATATAATAAATCCCAATCACTGAGTTGTCTTTGCTTTTCGTTAACTACTACAGGAATATTGCGTATTTGTGAGATAGTGAGCTGCAAAAAAGAAAAACAACCACATTGAATTTTCACATGAAACATACAAATAAAATAGCATAAGTATTGGTTAAAAGCGTTTTGCCTGAAAATATGCGTCTAATAAAAAGAAAATAGACCGAAGAAAAATATGTGAATTCGTGGTATTGCTCAACCATTTTCCTTTATCTTTGAAGAGTAACTGACATCTACTCGACACCATTAAACTTCACTGGTCATGGCTTCTCACTAGGACTGCGGAAATTACCTATCAGAAATAGACACTAGTTAGCACATGATAATTACCAGTATAGAGGGTTCGTGGATGTCTCTGGATCATGTATATAACTGGTAAGTGAACTGTCAAAAGAATATGATAACAAGAAAATTTATTAACCGTCACGTAAGAATAAGGAGACGAATATTAAGATTATGGAAGCATACGTAATGTATCTGGCAAAAATGTAAAGAATAAAATTTCTGCCTTAACCCGCTTTTGTATACCCTCTGTTGATGGACAAGGTACAGAAAGAGGTTTCAAAAAAACTTCTTTTGACTACAAAGGTTAAGTTTAGGAATTTAGATTAAAATAACCAGCAGTAACCACTAAGTCTATCGTCTGAATTAAGGACAATTGTGAGAGGAGAGGATTTCATTTTACAAGGTAGTACATCGGGCGGAAAACGAATTTCGATTGTTTCTACAACTCCGAATCTGAAATCGTTGGAGCGATTTCTTCACTTATATACCGATAGAATATTCAAAACCTCAGGGTCTTGATTTACTCAGATATACACCATTCAATGCTATGAAACTCAAAACGATTGTTCCTTCGGTTTATGTCCCGATGAAAGACAAAAACATGAATTCGTATGTGCGCACCTCCAACAAATCTAAATAACTACACCTGACTTTAAATTCGCCAACTGTCATGACTGATTACGAAGATTCGGCGTTATCAACATTTCGACAAGTATATCCAAAAGAAATCAAAGTATTACCATATTATTTTGAAAACATCTGGACCGGGAGAATAACAAAACGCAGAGACCATAGCGATCCAATTTTTAGAATTGTACTATGGAATGTCCACATTTCCGTTGTGGAAGACATGCCTAAAACGGACAATGTGATAGAGTGATACCAAAAAGGACTTAATCAACTAATTGGGATCGCTTATCTGAACATATGATGCTCTAAAAAATGAAATGAGTTGAAAGTCGAACATTTCTTTGTGAGAATCCAGCAATAAGACTTGAAAAGGAAGTATTTGGAGGTAGCAGAACGTATTAAACTGGTCGTACAAAATTACAGAAACAGATCGATGCTAGATTGTTTGCGCGAAATGGCACGTGATTCGAACGTGAGTATTTAGACATATTCAACGATGTTATAAAAATTTAAGAGTGTAAGTAACATTTATGTCTATATTACTTTAAGAAACCACCATTTACACACTCGATCATGACTTATTATATTTGCTCGGTCAGTGTTTTACTACATTATAAAATCATCCTTTGCAACTTTTTCGTAATGATGTGGATCATGTGTAACTTGCCTTTTTGCGAGCAGCCTTATCGAAGGATACTGAATAATCCATTTACAATCTATAAATATGTCGGAATACAACTTAAATATAATGAGAGCCAGGAAATAAATGAACTTACGGGATACTGTAGCTCGTACGGCAAAAGTTCACATTTTGGTTTAAGTAGTGGAGGTCTTAAATTTATTCCACTTTTTAAATTGTCTAAGAGGCCATATCTATTTGCTTCGTCTAATATGTTTGCATCGTCTCCCGAAGTGAATATTGTATCGTTCAAATAATTCATTAGTAAACATTTATTACCTAAATGTTTTATTCCACGTCCAAATTTATGACCGTTACCATGTAATCTTAATTGCAAGCCGCAAGATTGATCATTTTTCTGCTAAAAAACAACACTTGAAACAATGTAATACTTGTAAAAAAGTTCTTAAAATAAGTTTAAGAATCATCCTAGAAAAAATAAAACAAAGCATTTGTATTATTTTTTTTATGTTACTTATGTTGACTGCAATTTTGAATTGATGTTTTTGTCAAAAATTCATTGGTCTATAATTGATCCTTTTTCTATTTTAGTACACTTTTATTGGCATTGCTTTCATGAACAGATTAAGTAGATTTATACACTTATTTCAGAATAATGGAGAAATATAGTTCCTATGGTTGTTTTTCATTGTGTTGGTTGAGTTCAGAGAACACAGAAAAATTACATTAAACTTGAGTTATCAACTTGATGTTTGGCGTATTGAATACATCTTTTCATGACCGTTCGGTATATGGAGTTAGCCTGGAATTAAGGAAAGTGATGTACTATACTGATGTGTCCTCAAAGTAACTTCCAACTAAACTCTTTTATATAAGTATTTTAAATCTATTTTGAAATTATGGTTTTTAAATATCATAGGTTGTAAGCAGCTGACGAGAACCAAACAAAATAAAATAAATTTATGCTATTCTGCTCAAATCTTTGTTCTTGTTCTCTTCAAGATTATAAAGGGGACTGTGTGTATGAAATTTCATATATGAATATAAATATTATTGTACATTAGAGTAAAGCCTGATGAGGATCTAATTGAAAACTATTTTTCCCTTATATATGTTGCTATAATTCACAATATGGGAGTTTTTAAAATTTTAGTAAAAATAAGAAAACCATCTACTTCTTACGGTACCTCTGTGAATTATCTAATACAAATAGTTAGGACAAGTAAGTATATTGCGTAAAAAATAGAAATGAAAGACTCAGCGTCTGATATGCCCTCCGGATCGAAACCAGGTTAACTTCCACCTCATATGTAACTTCAGAAATAGTAAAATGATCAGGAAATACTCTCCACTTCTGTTTTAATTACATTCCTATTTCGGATGTTCGAGTGATCAAGACTAACGCCGATAGGAAAACACCTGGATCCTATACATTGATCGGTGCTTTGATCAGAGTTAGGATTGCATCCAGTAGGTTGTTACTAGTCCTAAGTACACAATTTGCTTTTCTTCAGATTTCATCTTCAGGATGGTATGAACTAATCGTTTAGTTCTTAGAATTAAACAGAACACAAAAAAATATTAGAGTTGGTGTAAATGAGGATCGCTATACGTTGTGAAGTTTGAAATACACCAGCATTGTAGCTTGCTGTACGACACTGGCAAACTTTAAATAAGAAAGCTGTTATCAAGTGATGTTTGTGAAGGTTGAATAAGTGAACGTGGCAACAGTAATGTCAGCAATACAATTCAGAAATGTAATCTCATAAGCTATTCTTCATCAGTAAATCCTCACATTTATAAAAGGATTCTCAACTACTTGTTATTATGATCTTCCGGCGACCATTTTCGGAAAACAGTCCCCAAGTCATTCCACAACTCTGTAAATGTCTACGTCGGAATTCATGTTATTCAATGGAAATATTAACTTGTCAACTCGCAGACTGTGAGTAGAGAGAAAATTCAGCCTACATTATTCAAATTCTTATTGGTGGATATTGTCATGCCAGGTTAATTACTGAAAGATTCGATAGGGGGTAAAATTAGAAGAAATGACTGATGCTGTGATGCCAAAACCTCACAAGTTCTGACTAATGCAAACTGGCTTTCTACCATTCTCTCATGACAAGAACAGGACATATCAATAGATGATATTCAGAAGAGTTAAGGTAAGCGTAGCAACGGAGTTGATAAGAATTAACCAATAGTAAAACTAACTAATTAAATGTGATAATTTGCCACTTTAACATTTGACTGAATTTTGTTATGTCCAACTGGTAATTTATTTTGGCATGACGTTCTGTTAAGTTCTGATAATTATTACACTTAGTTTTGACGTTTACGCAGCATAAAATTCGCTTTAAGTTATAATTATCTGAATGAAATTATTAATCTCTGTAAAAAAAGATGTATTTCTTGCAGGTCAGATTTTGTTTTCTTAATAGTTAGGGCCTGGTTTAAGAATATTGGGAGCATATTGTTGAAGAATAATGGAGAGGATTCACTGTCACATTAATATTTTGAACTGTGTAGCAAAAAGGTTCAGGTTATAACAGGAATATGAAAAATAGATGCAGTATTAGAATCAAAGGTCAACGATTAAATGCGGACTAGACTAGCTGTCCAATCTCTTAAATATCCATGGTGATATTAACGATCAAAGATGTTAGGTGACAGACCGAAATCAGTTACAGCGTCGCAGATACAGATACTGTTCTCTAAAACTTGAATATTATTTTACATTTTTTTATTTTGTGAACCTATTCCTTCTTTACAGACTATATTGCTTATATATAGTGCTTTTGACAAACATATTGGTGTTCCAACTATTTTTATACATCTTGTTAATTTTATATCATTGTGTTGATGTAGTTTGGCAACTGGAGCTGAAACTCATTTGTCCCTAGTCCTAAGTTGTTTTGAATAACTGACTTCTGAACCGTTTACAATGAATAATGAAGCAAATACGCTATTAAATGAAAAATAAACTATTTTCAAGAGAGTAACCGGATCGATGACCACGAATATTATGCATTCGAACTGACCCACCGAACTATTATTTAACTTTATGTATGATTTTAAAAAAGGGGAGAAGCAGAAAATAACCATTGACTCACATTATTACTATTAATAAGATAAGTTATAACTTCCGACATTTTCATAATACTTTGTAATACGAGTCTAGACAGCATAAAGTACATATGTTTTCCTATTCCTCTCTGATTGATGTTTAGATGAAAGTATGAAATGGCTTTCAGTTATACGCAAGTTATTGAAAACAGTAATTAACAGGCTAACAACTTTAACCTAAAGTATAATTTCTATGTATACAAAATTGACGACTTTATAATATAACTCAATAAACAACGACTTACTCGACTACAACTAACATGCACATTATGAATACGTATCAAATCACCAGGTTTAATGTTGACAATCGGTTCACTAATAGCGTATTCATCATAGATGGAAATTGGGACAGACCAATCACGAAAAGTTTCCATTGAATTAGACGAAAAATTTGACTTCAATACTTTATCTAAATCTTCTTCGGTATATGTTTCATAATTCTTCACTATATTTTCATTCCATTGTTGTAAATTGTGTCCTGTTAAGGCAGCAAGATGAGGATCATGCTGAGAATAAGGAAGTAATTGAAGTAAATGGTCTTGAGAAAGACCAATAAAAACAGTATTTTGTTTATCATTAGATTGTGGTCCATCCCATATATATAGAACAATACGATTATCAATTTCCACAGAATTATAAATACTGATAATCTGGAAAAAACAAACATTTTTTGACAAGCCGGTTAATTTGTTTGTTACAAATAAGCAATAATATTATACATGAATATATACAAATCCACTTTACATTACAAGCATTCTATGGTATCAGAATTATACTGTATAATAAACTCCAATCGCATATGATATAGACGAAAACAAAGACATTTTACTGAAACACTAATTTTAGGCTAATGATACTGTGCCTACTACTTGTATCTCAGTAATAGGACAGTAGTTCGAACTCGCGACCTAATAGTGGGAGAAGGAAATATATAAATCAATACGATACAATTGTAATGAAGGGAAGAATTTATAAAGATAATGCCACTCTAAGCACAAGAGATATGATGGAAGTACTTAGATATTCGTCATACCTCAATATGAGGTTGATTAGGTATTTTAATTCAGCCAAAAAATTATAAATGGACAAAAAAGCTCATTCTATCAGTTAATAGAAAAATGGGAACACTGGATTTCTCTGGTGAATATCATTATGTATTTTCAACCTGGATAATAGCCGTTTGGAAAAATTAAAACGATTGCATGAATTTAAGAAGAGGATTATGAATAACGTTATATAATTGTTGTGATTACCACAAGAACTTGTAATCAATAAGATAGAATGGAGTCAGGGAATTCATCTGGCATATAACAAGAGTCAAACATTTATTTTGTGGGTCGACAGACTTGATTAGTCGTAAAACATGTTTGCTTTTATCACTAATTTTGGCTTTTAGAGAACATGATCTCATAACTTCTTTTGTGGTGATTAATCAGTTAAATCAATTTACAAATTATAACAAAGTGAGTACTTACCTGTCCTTCAATTGTGCAATATTCTTCTCCATTCAGAAGATCAAGTCTTTTTATTCCAGATGTAATAGTTCGGCATGCTTCATTATCACCTTGTTCGGATGAAATTTGTATATTTTCCCTTTCAACTGGGCAGTTAGGAGAGATATACCACTCTCTTAAGCGTTCTATCACTCTCAGCTCTTCATCACCAAACTAATGTACCATAAAGAATATTTTTTAGAGATTTTAGAAACTGATTGTGAAGAACTGAATATTTTATTTGAGAAAATTATATCAGTCCTAAAGTGTTGGTTATTGACGAAATATTTGTACAATAACAAAAAGAGCTCGTTCGGTATTTGTTAATCTATATCGTCTAAGGCTTTTAAAGAAATTTAAAAAATTTTCAACTGATTTATTGTCGTTGGCCCCAGATTTCTGAAAGTGACTAGGAAATTTTTATTGACCCACACATAATAATAGATACAGATTTTGTTGTTTAAGTTATACAGAATTACATATTTGTGGGGACAACTGTAAGGAGAAAACATTGAACACATAACAGCCTCAAGGCTTTATTCATTCGTGTTTTTGAAACAAACACAAGGAAAGATCTCGGCATAACTGTATGTATTATATATTTCAAGTGTTTTTTGAAAGTATACATTCAATAAAATTCTTTAAACAAATATTGAAAAGGTGATTATCTGACTGGTGCCAATGAATATTTAGGAATAAGACCTGACTGTTAGACCTAATATTTGGATATTGCATTAAAATGGTGAATGAAAGGTTAATAAGACTGACAGTCAATAAGACTGCACTACGACACTATTATTGAGTCGATAAGCATAAACTACGAGTGGGAGTGATGAGTCACATTCACGCGATTCACTAAAGGTCTTTCTCAAAAATATTTTCTTTGCCTATCTTGAATCACGCATTTTTTATTAATCAGTTGAATGAGCGACGTGAAATTAACTGCTAAGTCTACATATTTAACTAATTCGGTGTAAAAGTAAAAATAAAATGTTAGATATAAGCTCCCACTGTTATTCGTTAACTTCTATAGATTTATAAATAGGGTAAAATAAATGAAAGATATTTTAGCAATCCATTGTCAACTCCGGTTTTATATTCATGTATTCCATATTTAATTTCGTAATTAATCGCTGGTACATCGCGTTAGTACAATGATGAGTCAAAAGTCCGAAGTGTTACCAGGATACGTTTATTTATGCATTCTCACTAAGCAGACAATCATGTAAAAGAAAGAAAAACAAATGCTGAAACAAGTTGGGATACTAGTCAACCCAAAATGCTAATCATTATAAGGGTTAATTAACTTAAAATAGTTCCAGAAGATAGACATTGAATAAGACAAACACACACAAGAGCATGTAAGACGTAAAAGTATAGAATTACAAGGACACGAATATAAAAGGCATACACGCACAAAAAGTCATAATCGCCTATGAACAGAACAGTCATCAGAATGATAAAAATGACTTAATGGTCAAATGTCGTCTAAGTCAAGAAAGTCTATTCAAATGACAGAAATCACATAGGCGCATAATAACAGAGAAACTGCTACAACATAAACGGTTGCATTAAATTAATGTAGATATTTGAAAAGAAAAGGTCTATCGACAAAATGGGTCACTTTTTTCTAATTATTAACACATAACAAATTGATCCAAGAATTTCCATCCCATATTTATTTTCACTAGTGTTTTTAGTTGAAGGAAAGACAAGGAAAATACGGTGAACTAACTGTATTCTATTGGATTTATTTTTACCTTGCTAAAGTTAATAAATGGGAATTAGTTTGCATGGAATTCCATGTTTGTTAAAAACGAGGCGAAATTTTCATTTATCTCATCCTGAACAGTCCATTTTAAGGACAGTTAGAAATAGTTCAAAGAAGAATGTCATTAAAACTTCAGACACTTTTTATGATCTTCGCGATGTCATTTCCGATTAGAGGTTTAATGTCTTTATGAGACTAGATATACCACAAAAAGAACATCGAAAAACCTTAAGAAAACGTTATTCATGCAATCATTTTAGACTGGAATGTAAGCATAAATATTGGCCATGTGTATTATTTATTTATTTAAACACATTGATAAAGGGGGAGCCAAATACATATGTGCCACACAAATCATTTCGGCCTTCTTTTACATTTCTATTTCTAAAGATATAGATACTAAAATATCGGACAGTACAGAAATCCTTTGAATATTTTTTAAATTTTCCAATAATTGACAATGTCCAACCTAAAGTTCAATGAAAATCAATAACTATCGCCTTCATTGAAGATCTCTGTAACTTGTAATCAAGATTTATTGTCAGTTTAAGAATATATCCCTGCAACCCATTGAATAATAAGTACTTATTTCTTAAACTAAAGTTAACGATAAACACGTCACTATTGATATAGACTTTCCAGAAGATACTATCAGAGTGTGCACTGATGGTGTCGTTTAGGGAAACAATAAGAGGCTTTTTAAATAAATCATTTAGAAAAGAGAATAAGACCAATAAAATCACCCACATACGCTACAAATCTCTATTGTTTCAAGAACAAAATGTATACTCAATTTCCTTGAAAAGATACTTGTTTGTACATAACATGTAACCAGCAAACCACACCTTAGACTGCTTATGAATATCAGTAATATATCAACTTCCAATGACTCAATCTATCATATATCATTCACTTTCTATGTCCTTTAACTAAGAGTTATCAGTCAGTAACATTAATAAACAACTATTGTATACAAATTGATAATGTTCACTTACAAATAAAATTAACTCACAGTGCATCGAGTGTTTGATTTAAAAGGAGTCAATGGATCCAAATGAACACCTGAAAATACAGCTGCACTGAAACCTGTTGCACCATAACCGCAGCCTTGGTTTCGACCATTATATTGTTTTATCACAAGCCTATGCATAATGATAATATCTCCAGGACTTTGAATCTAAAATAAAAGTTTATGTTCAAAAAAGTAAGTTGAGGACTATAACAATATATAAAAATTATATGATGTGTAGTTGACGTGATCGATTTGACTGATACGAAAATGGAAAACAAACTGCGATGAAAAAAACACGAATGAATAGAGAATACGAGTCCGTCCGCCAGTACTTTATTTCTCATTGGGCTGAGAGGATACAACATTTAGTAAGACTAAAGAATTATTTATCAAAAATGAAACTCGCTAAATACGTTTTCAACTAACCAAAAATAACAATAGGAAATGGTCAAACTACGTAAACTGGTTGGTCTAACAGAACAAACTATTAAACAAGATTATTCAGATTATGTTGCGACATGATTTAAGACCTGATGTAGTGAACCCGACCGTTGCTGCTACCTTGATGTGGTAGTCGGGCTGGCCTATCGTGATGAACCAATCGAGCTATACTGGCTGGAACGATCGTTCCTCAAGGTCCTACTGTGCCAGACAGGTCGTTTGAAGAGTGGTAAGACTAAAAGCAGAAAACCAGCCAGAGGGCTAAGTCGTACTGCTGATTGTACAGAGGTGTGACGGGAGTAAGGTGCTTCCTTCAGACAACCAGCAGAACAGCGGTGCTGCCTTCCCACAAGGAAGAGCGGGGTTGTAAAATGTTGACTATAAAAATGCGCACCTCGCCTTATTCCACGGATATCCGTCTCCAGCAGTAAGGTCCCAACAAGTACGGAGCTAACACGAAAATTGCTCACAAAAAGGCTGTGTGTGATCGACGTCAAGAAGTTGTCCCTTGGGCACTGCGGTCACGCTCTCAGATCACTAAGACTACCTATAACCTGATTTCCTCTTCAGGTACCTCCATAAAAACCCATCCACGGTGTGGGCAACCGGGAACTGATAATCACCCTCATACCTCTAGCAACGAAAGATTGCTGTATTCATAATCAACCCCTTTCTTCAATGCCTATTATTCCTCCTACCTCAAATTTCAACCCTAAAATTCCTCTTTTGGCTTCCTCCCTAGGTGGCACCATGGCCAACGATTCTAGTGCACGAAACACTGTCCCAGGTCTACTGAAACCTCGCTCCAAACTACAGATTGGAGCCTTCAACGTATGCACCATGTAACAAATCGGCCAGCAGGTCTCCTTGGTTAAAACCCTAGAATCTCGTACCATTGATTTATGCTGTGTCTCTGAAACACACATACAGGATCTTAGTGTGATCATTCAATCGACCTCACCTCACCAAAGCGGGGAGCCGACGTGACACGCCCACCGTTTATCTGGCGACCCGATGGCTAGTTCTTGTGGACTGGCTGGTGCAGCCATAGCACTGAGTACGAGGGCAGAACAAGTACTATTAGAATGGACTACCGTTAACAGTCGCCTATGTGCTGTACGGCTAAACAGCTCCGTAAGAACTCGGAAGGATAAGGACACACGTCGTCACCTTTCCGCCGTTTCTGCCTACGCTCCCACTGACTGCAGCCCGGATGAAGCAAAACGCTCAGACATAGCACTCGTAGCAAGTGACTTTAATACCCAAGTAGGTAGCTTAAACCAAACAGAAAGATATTTAGGTAGGTATTTTGGTATTCCAGCTCAACGAACAGATAATGGTGACCGTCTGCTGCAACTGTACTCAGACTATCTTTTATTTCTAGCAAGCACTAATTTTAAGCATAAGGGCGTCTAGGCACAGAAGAGGGTCGTTTAGGTGGCCGATGGAGACTAGTTGGTCGCAGGTCAGATAACGGAGACCGTCTACTGCAACTGTGCACAGACCACAACCTGTTTCTGGCTAGCACTAACTTTCGGCACAGTCATCGCCGATGTGCCACCTGGCGTCCTCCCTCTGCATCCCAAGCCTGGACTCAGATTGATCACATCGCGATCAGCTACCGCTGGCGTGGTTGTGTACAAGACTGCCACTCCTTTTGGAGTACCTATCTGGACTCTGACCATGCCTTGGTCTGCGCCAATCTTGCCTTACTTTTCAGTGGCCAACGAAGTGACCGCCATCAACGGATTGATGTTAGCAAGTTGGTTGCAACTTCTGTTGCTAGTAAGTATCGAACCGAGCTAGTTTCTAGGCTAGCTACCATTCCACCGAAAAGTATAGATGCGCATTGGTTGCAATTGCATGACGCCATGAAAATGGCGGGTACAGTCAGTTGTGGGTTCGCGAAACGTCCCACTTATAAGCACTGGGTTTCTTCAGGTTCCTTACAACTCATTGAAGCCCGTCGGTCTACTCCGAGTAACCGTGAGTTTCACCACAGACGAAAGATGTTACGTAAGGAAATTGGGCAAAGCTTGCGTAAGGACCGAGAAGCCTGGTGGTCGGAGCGTGCTAATGAGCTGGAAGCAGCAGCTGCATCTGGTAACTGCCGGAAGCTCTTCCAACTCACCCGAGCCACTAGCAGCAAGAAGTCTGGTGTGAGCGAAACAATCTGTGATGATGACAGGATGCCAATCACTAACATCCATCGACGTCTTGGACGATGGGTAGAATTCTTCGAAGGGCAGTTCAACTGGCCTGCTGCTCCGGCAACATCGGTCAGACTGTCCTGCCCTCCATGACCGGTGACGACTGATCCACCAAACGAGGAGGAAGTCCGCAAGGAACTCCAACTCTTGAAACGCTACAAATCACCTGGCCCAGATGACTTACCTCCGGCTCTTTTTAAAGATGGTGGTGACTTTTTGACTAAGGAATTGACTGTGTTGTTTGGAAAGGTCTGGGAGCTAGAGAGTGTTCCAACATCATGGAATGAGTCGATAGTTGTCCCTATCTTTAAAAAGGGTTCACGTCGTTCCTGTAAAAACTATCGAGGGATAAGTCTACTTCCGATTGAGTCCAAACTGTTGGCTTCCGTCATACTTTGTAGGTTGTTCAAAACCCGAGAAAGATTGACTCGCGAGGAGCAGGCTGGTTTTCGTTCTGGTCGAGGATGTATTGATCATATCTTCACTCTCCGCCAAATGTTAGAACACTGTCATACTTATCAAAGGCCAACAATCGTAGTGTTTGTTGACATCATGGCTGCCTTCGATTCGTTGGACAGGACTGTTCTCTGGGATTGTCTATTGAAGAAGGGTGTGCCTGAGAAGTTTATTAACATCCTAAAAGCCCTATATACAAACACCTCAGGCAGAGTGAGGGCATACAACCACCGCTCTCCGCTATCCCACTAAAGCAGTGGGATTAGACAGGGTTGCCTAATCTCACCATTCCTCTTCAACTTTGCCATCGATGACATTCTGGAAACAGCTCTGATGGATGTAAGTAATGGCGGTGTGGATCTGTTGCGTGGAGAAAGACTTCTCGACCTTGAGTATGCGGACGATATTGTCTTACTGTGCAACAATGCCCAAGCCATGTAATCCGCACTTAATCAGTTGGCAATCAGTGTCCGTAGGAATGGTATGTGCTTTGCACCTTCGAAGTGCAAAGTACTCCTACAAGACTGGCAGGATTCCAATCCTGTACTCACCCTGGATGGTGAGCAGATAGAAGTAGTCGAGAAGTTTGTGTATCTGGGTAGCTGCATAAGTGCTGGTGGGGGTGTGAGTGATGAGATCAATGCACGTATAGTGAAAGCCAGAGCGGCTTATGGCAATCTGGGCCATCTTTGGTGCCTTCATGATGTTAGTCTGGCTGTAAAAGGTCGGATCTACAACGCGTCGGTGAGAGCAGTTTTGCTCTATGCTTGTGAAACCTGGTCTCTCCGAGTTGTTGACGTTAGACGACTCTCTGTGTTCGATCATCGCTGTCTCCGAAGGATTGCTGACATCCAGTGGCAACATCATGTCAGTAAGGAAGAGGTTCGGCATCGTGTGTTCGGGCACAGAGATGATAATTCAATTGGTGTCACCATCTTGAAACACCGACTTCGGTGGCTTGGACATGTTCTACGAATGTCGTCCCAGAGAATTCCACGTCGTTCATTATTTGCCGACTCTGGGACTGGTTGGAAGAAGCGGAGAGGTGGTCAGTGCATGACATGGTGTCGTGGTATGAAAGAAAGCTGCAAAGGACTGGCTTCTGTTGGTCCTTCACGACTCCCTGGTTGGGGTCTGAGAGATGGTGCTACACAGTGGCTAGAGACGTTATCAGATATGGCTCAGAATAGAAGCCAGTGGCGATCCTGCTGTAACCTTCTTTTACTTTCTTCATAAAAAGTGGTTGTGTCTCCCTTACCTAAAGGTTTCTTCCGATTGTACCTTTCCGTTCCCCCATTACTACCACACTACCTTACACCAATCTCTTCGTTACTGTTCTCTTTTTTTTACGCTCCTTACCTTTTTTTCTTTTCTCTTCGAATTCTCATTGTTTTGTGTGGCGCATATATATTGGCGCTCTCCTGTACCAATATTTATGTGTTCAAATAAATAAATAAATGTCATGTGGAGTAACAAATTATTATTTGAAATTCGTCTACCAACATATCCAATTGGATATATTAAAAAAATCCCAGCCCAAGATTTTGACAGAATATCATGTGGAAGTGCTCAAATATTAGTAATGCCGAATTCAGCATCAAAGTCTAAGAGAGATATGGTGAGTGGTGTGTCACTGTCAGAGGCTCGAGTCCAAAGTATACCATAGGTGTAAAATAACTGACACGGTCAAAATATTATAAAATCCGAAAAATGTCAGAACTATGTTTGCGAGCAATCGATTTTATTCTCTTAATCCTAGAATAGGATAAGTAATGTCAGGGTATAGTTGGACAGACAAGCTAGAACTACTACTCGATCAGAAAATAACAAACTCGTTCTTAAGTGATGTACATTGACATTGCTAATAAAATGGTACGAAAATCTAGTAAAAACTGACGAGGTTAGGGTAAGAATGAGAAGTTGCAGCATGAGATGCGGAAAGTATATTCTGCATCCCGATGTTTTGTCGCAGGTAAGAAAATCTCCAAGTAAACAAAAAGCACATTTATGGGAGGTTTACTGAGTGAACAATCTCCATTTATTTGAACACATAAATATTGATACAAAGAGGCACCATATACATACGCGCCACACAAGTCACTTGATTTGTGTGTGGGCTGTGATACTGGCCGGGTTCCCAGACCGCAGCAGGTGGTTTTCTCAGGGGGTCACACCCCAAGTCTTCGACCTGAAGGTCTGATCCACGAGGCAGTAAAGTAACGTCAGGGGATGTAGTCCCATGGTAGCCGGTGACCAATAGCTGGATCATACGCCACTTAATCCCTCAGGACCCTGGATCCCATATGTACCATTGGTTTGGAATCAGGGTTTTCCAATTCACCGTTAAAGCGCCGGATATTCGCTTTTCGTCTTCTCAATTTCGTAAACACCCCGCTGCTAGAAGGCAGTGAGTAGGACTTCCTTGGCAGTGACTGTATATGTGTGGCTATGTAAGAGCATTATTTCGAGGGGGAGAAATAACTCGCCCCATCCTCAGCCATACCAGGGCATTTGGGTACAATCTAAATTTATAGCGCAGGCGAGATATCCGTCTATCAACCAAACGACGTCTCTAATGCGCAGCAGTTCATTTCGTCCTACTTTATGGCGGTGAAACACGGCCGGTAAGAGTAGAGGATATTCGTAGGTTACTAGTATTCGATCAAAGGTGTCTTCGAAACACTGCTCGTATATTCTGGGACCACCGAGTAAGTAACACAGTTGTTAGGAAACGGGTACTAGGTAAGGATGGTAAATCAATTGATGAAGTAGTAAAACTTTATGGCTGGGACACGTGTTACGTATGCCCAACCACCGACTGCCCCGACGTGCGATGTTTTATGGTGTAGGAGAAGGTTGGAAGAAAGCTAGGGGCGGCCAGACCAAAACATGGCACAAATTCATGAAGTCACTGACAAGTGGACTGAGTCATGTTGGTAGGTGTAAACTACCTGGTTGGGGACTGCGAGATGATAGCAACCGATGGTTAGAGACCTTGAATGACATGGCTCAAAATCGTTTGCAATGGCGCAGGTGCACCTACTCTTTGTGTTATCCCAAGTCCTAATCTCCTGAATTATTCATGCCCTTTTTTCTTTCCAGATTTATTTCACTGGATTATACTCCTTGAATAACGTCTTCAAACCCTGGTGTTTCCGACTACTGTTTATATTCTTACTACCCTACCACTACGGGATTTGAATCGACAACTGCATCTCTGTGCTAATGTGGCATGGCAACTCGAACTGATGTACGTACGTACGGAGTTCTACGTTGTTACTGACTGACTGACAATCTGGTAACTAGTTAGCTAAAGATGGTTTGTGGAAATTCAACAGCAGAAATAACGTGGATGTGCCTACAATAATAACTAAAAATCGTTTCAAATTGATATTAAAGTAATGCTTCCTTGGAGTAATTAGTAATCATACAGTGAAGTGATAATCAGTCTTTGTTGGCCGACAGATGTGACGATATGGATACCAATTAGTCGCATATCTGGTGATATTATTTATTTTATTATTTGGTAGAGCTAAAACTTTGCACTTTCAAGTAGGCTGATAATGAGAGTCTCTTTTGAAAAAAGATACATCAAATAAATTGCCATTTATCTGAAGAAAAGTTTTCAACGACATAAAACGAACTGTACCTGAGGTAAATTTCCTTCCGCATCATGGAAAACGATGCATGACATTTTATCACCGTTTAAAGAAGGATCAGTGATCGAAAAAAACAGTGAGTATGAAGAACCTTTGGTTTTTTTCGGTTTCTTAACATGTTTAACAATGGCGATGACATTGACACTGCCAGACGCACTTTTCAGGTCCACATATTTATATCTCGACATGCTTCAGTTGTTTTTATCCAGAAACGATTGTTTTTATATTGATTAAAAGTACTTTTCTATATGAAGTCAACAGAACATTGAGTTGGTTATAAACTAATGTGTGGAATTCATTCATAAACTGACTTCTTTGACCAGTGCTAACAAAACAAATAAAAGGACGAAACAACAAAACTAGCATCGGTACCATTAGATAAGTAAAACACTAAACAGAGCAACAGGGAGATACGACCAATACGTTGTATTTGCTTAACTTTTGATCAATTAACTACAAGTTGTCATTGCTTATTCATAACCAAAGCATATTAGTGCAATCGAATATGACAAATTTACATTCAACTGGGAAAATATAGTTTTGAGGTGAAAAATAGGAATTCATATCTAGATAGTTAAGAGATCACATTTGAAAGAAGTAAGAATTCTGAGTTACAATATCGTTTGGTGAATCGTAACCAGTTAATGTTACTCTGAAAGATCACCCCGAAACCTTTAATTATATAACCTAATGTAAATGAGGGCAAACCATATCTATTTATATAACACCCATATCGTTCTTGCAAGACCTCCGGAATAAATAAAACCAATGAAAACCGCGTGTACGTTGATATTTTGCACCATGAGGTGAATCTGTTATCTCAGGGTTTACCGTTACTAAGAAATTAACAGAACTTGTTGCATGATTGATTGGTTTTGTTGGTTTTTTGCACATAAGCTCTAGTTAACAAATAACATGTTGAATTAAAATTCCTTAAAGAAGTGATTTAATATAATTATATACTCAAACACCAATGGAGTTACTAGTTTTCAAGTATGGTGCATTTTTATTCCAGGATGACAAGTTTAGAAGCGTTAGTTATTCCGAAAAATGAACCAAATCTTCTAACCTTCACTAAAGCAATATCTTAAGCAACTCAAGTAGTTGATTGGGTTTCTTCGACTGAGCAAAAATAATCCAGTTTTATTGAAAATGTTAATATTATCGTTTTCTCAAATTTCCACTATCTTTTGAAAACAATTTTTTCACTCACCTACTAAATGTAAGATACATTCCTGCTATAATTCTCTCTTACGGTTGTAACCAAGCTATTCCTATTGCTTAGTATTCTCGGACACCGATTAACTCGACAAGTCCCCAAATCAGAACACGGTTGAACAGGAAAGAGATTATATTCCAAATAACAAGGTTAGATGGAAGCAAGAAGCAAGTAAGAAGTGCAATAGGGAAAACGCTAGTATATTTATAGCTTTTCACATGAGATTTCTAGTGTTCACTAAGTATTGGCTAACGCTGATTGGATAAGAATTAGCCAATCAACGTGCAGCACAGCAGTCGTGCATTGAGCATGCTTTAATCCAGTCTACATCTCGCTAACAATTCCATTAAAGTCTGTCGGTTTTACTCCAAACGACTAAGAGTATGAATGTTTATCCTGGACTTCAAAATCTAAGTACGGGCTGAGATAGGCAGAGTACTATCTTAGTGCTTTTCCAAGAATTTCGTGTCAATGAAGCAGTAATAGTGACTTCTCTAAGATTCAGTCACAACAACTTGTTGTTAGCCAATACAAGCTCAAATGTTAAGGTAAATACTCCCTACTTTGACGGTCGTAAACATTAACTCGACGGTATACCCTGATAAATTATATTGTTAACAGTCGTTAGAGATAAACAGATGAAGATTTCTACTCTTCCTGCAGTAGCCGTTTGCATTCCAACCACTTTAAATAAAGGAAATTTGAGGAGCTTGAATATCTCTAGAGTTGATTTGAAAGTGACTATCAAGTATGTATTTCAGGCGAAGTTAGCTAAATATCTGGTGGAATATAAGAAGTGATCTCATTATAGTTTAACAAGGTGGTGTTTAGCTCATGGTTTGAAATTTTAAAAGCAATTGGTTATCAACAATTAAATGTTAATAAAACTCAACACACATGCATCCCAGTCTAATTTAATAGCTGTATGAATACTCATTACAATTGGGTTTAAGCAATTAGATAAACATTTCTTGTTGGTCGCGAGTAGTGTTAGGTATCGAAAGAAAGAGGGGTGGAGGAAGTGTTGGTTTTACGTAATTGTTGAATGCTGTTTAGCTACCTAACATACATGAAGCGATTTGGAAAAATAGAGTTCCGCTACGTTCAGCTGTATATTGTCAATAAACAGCATAGACACGGTAACTAGCACCATAATGGAAAATTAATCTGGTACGTCAACAGAACAGTAATAATATTTCGCCTGAGGTGCCGCTTTCGTATGAAAGTTTTAAACATTAAAACCAATCCTAACTATAAATACATCTCTATATACTATCAAAATAATGGACCACGAGGTAAAAGATTTAGGTGACAATAATACTGTATGTGTATTCAAACTTTCTTGGATGGGAATCGCAAGCTAACTCTTATTCCAAAGTTGTATCTTTACCGAATCTACAAAGTGACAAGAGAGAAAAAGCCCAATCTCCAGGTTTTGAGGTTCTCCCCAAAGTCATATGAAAATTCGTACTCTGCCACGTTTTGGGTACTTCTCCAAAACAACTTGAGATTTTGAGGAAAAACTCCAAACCAGCTGGTCTGGGGGAAACTTTGGAGTTCTTATTGCATTTCCTCGAAATTTTATATTATGGCTTTCCCAAAACAGGCAGAATTTTCCCCAAAATCGGGAGATCGGGCTACACACTTCCACTAGAGGAGACTAGGTAAAGAAAAATGTCATGTAATACCATTAGCGCTACACGGTAGACCTACCAACTGCTCCCCATAGATAACAGGATAGGTCAAAACAACCGTAGTAAGAAAAAAGTTTTATGAGCTGGCCATTTTAGCGAATGAAAAGCTTTAGAGATAACCTCCAGAGAGTTTTGATGACCAAAGAAACAATTTCGATTTCCAGCCAATAGGAATGCAACTGACACGGAACGATTCACTTTGCTATTTGCGCCATCGAAAATCCAATATCTTTGCGATGAGCTCAAATAAATCTATATATTACTAACTTCCATCTTCTGGTTGTTCCGGTACGGTTTCACATCTTCGATAATGTCTCATGAGCTGTAATTTAGCTACTCAACTGTATCAGTCCTAATCATAAATGGTTCAAATGGTTCAAATGGTTGTGGACGGAATAGAAGAAGCTTTCGCTTAACAGGCTTCCGTGTCTAGTAGCAGGGGATCACCAAATCCTCCAGGCAGGAACCTAGGTATGTTAACAATAAAGAGGAAAAGAAATTGGTAAATCATAGTGTGATGCTGTCCTTGGTCCTTAAGAATAGGTCAAGTTGCCTCTTGAAGGACTCCTGAGAAGTCGCTTGGACTAGCTCGGCCGGCAGCGAGTTCCAGCTTTTGACAACTCTTAAGGAGTAGAAGTTGTGTCTACATTCCGTCTTGCTATGTTGTGTTTCCAGTTTCTGGGTGTTACCCCTTAGGTTATTATTCGAACTAAGCTTAAGTAGGTGTTTAAGAGGATGTCCAGAAGTGTTAAGAATACTATAAGCCATTAATAAATCACCTCTAAGACGCCTGTATTCTAGTGGGTAAAGGTCTAGTGAACGGAGGCGTTCTTCGTAAGGCTTAGATTTGAGTCCTCGAACTGATTTCGTGGCTCGCCGTTGGATACGCTCCAAAGTGACCTTATCCTTTTGGAGTGAGGGGGAAGTACTATGTTTCCGTACTCTAAATGGGGACGGATAAAACTATTGAAGATTGTGTGGAAAGTTCTTCCGTCAAACTGGCCAAAAATGCGCCTCAACGTTACCAGTGCAAGGTTTGCTCGGAAGGCATTTTTGCCACAGTTAGCGTAAGACTTTAAGTCATGGGGCACCAGGACTCCTAAATCTTTTTCGACTTGGGATACTACTAGAGAGGAGTTTCCTAAGTTGTAACTGTAGTTTGCGACATGTCGCAGATGGACTACTTTACACTTTGAAGTGTTAAAGGTAAGTCCGTTATCGTCTGCCCAACTTTGAAGTCGAGTCAGATCCTCTTGAAGTGCCTGTATATCGTCTTGGTTGCGTATCTCTCTCCAAAGTTTCACGTCGTCGGCAAAAAGTAATAAGTCTGACGTTACCTGTTGAGGAAGATCATTTATGTAGATCAAGAAGTGAAGAGGCCCTAGTACTGAGCCCTGGGGGACCCCACTAGGACATTCCATAGCTTGAGATAAAGTGAAATTAACCCTAACCTTAAAGTGTCGATTTTTTAGGTATGAAGTAAGCCAATCGATTAGAGGTGGTTTGATACCTAGTCGTTTGAGCTTATTGATAAGATACAAGTGGTTAACCTTATCAAAAGCTTTTGAGAAATCAAGGTAAATGACATCAACCTTTCCCTTGCGATCGAGGATGCTTGTCCATCTGTCCACCGCAGTCAGCAGGTTGGTTATACAAGAGTAACCCTTCCTGAAACCATGCTGTTGGGGTGAGAAGAAATTTAAGGACAGTAGATAGTCGTTTAAACCGTCGCATATCAGGGACTCCATGAGTTTTGAAGGTAACGACAGAAGAGCTACCGGCCGATAACTTGAAGGTTCATTGCGTCGACCACCTTTGAAAATTGGTGTGATGTGAGCCAACTTCCAATTTTCCGGTAGTTTGCCTCGGCTTAGCGAGTGTGAAAACATCACGCTAAGCGGCGTTGTCAGGATTGAGGCTGTCTCCCTCAGTATGGCAGGATGAACCATATCCGGGCCAGGAGAAGTATCTAGTCTTAAGTGCTGCAATTTCCGGAACACCAAGTCAGCGCTTAGGTCCACTTCGAAAAGTCCTGTGGAATTGCAGATGAAACTGTTGTCAATAAAGTTGATGTCAGCCGGTTGAAATGTTTGAGAGTAATGTGCCGCCAGAAGGTTAGCGGCGTCGCCATCATTGTTGGTCGGGCCGTTAAGACCTAGCAGTTGAGAAACTCCTGTTTTGGCTTGACGAAGAGAGGCTGCGTAACGGAATAGGCTTCTAGGGTTAGAGGCGAATTTGTCCATAAGCTTTGTTTGGTACTGAAGCCTGTCTTCTCTTATAGCCTTCGTGCATATGTTCCTGATATGTTTATATTGCCTATACGCTCCATCGTTATTAGTTCGTTTGTATTCCGCCTAACAGTGTCTTTTGCGGCTTAGCAGGCGAAGGATACGGTTCTTGATTACTGTAGGTGGCTTGCAGCTTTTGGGAACCGTTTGAGGAACTGAATGGTCTGTAGCACATAAGAGCGTGTGCAGTAAGAAGTCCCAATGACCATCCACATCGAGTTGAGGGTGAACATCCCAAACCACCTGTTGTAGATAGTCATGTAAAGCTGGCACATTCAGCCGTTTAAAATTCCAACGCAAATTATTGTTGGGATACCTTAGCTTAGTTTTGATGACAAAACTGAAGGCTATGACGGCATGATCGCTCTTTCCCAGAGGAGCCAGGATTGAGAGGTTGTCGACTAGGAATTCTTCGTTAGTGAATACACAGTCTAAGCGCGATGATGTCTGACTGTTTCTCCAACGAGTTGCCGACCTCACATTTTCATATAAGCCCAAGTTATCGATGAGGTTGAAGAACCGAGCTTCAGTTGAGTTGTCGCCTCCAATGTACGTGTGTTCCGCGAAGTTGACTCTAGGGAGATTAAAGTCCCTTAGAATCAGGATGTGTGTGAAACCGAGACGGATAGAGCGGGATAGTCCTTCCAGCATACAACTATCGTACTCGGTGTCGGCAGTTGGCTTCCTGTAAATGACTCCGACTAGACACCTGGAAGTACTAGACAACCTTACAGAGCACCATATGGATTCCTCAAGATTGTTAAACTCGAGGTTGTGAACCTGGTGCACCTCCAAGCAAGAGCTTATGTATATGGCTACTCCGCCCCCAATTCCTATTTTTCTGTCGTTGCGGAACAAAGTCATCCCAGGTAATGCTAACTCTTGGTCCGAGAACTGAGAAGATATCCAGGTTTCAGATATTCTTATCAGATGGGCCTTGTTAGCGTTGCTAAGTTCACGTAGTTCATCCAGTTTGTTTGGTAGACTCGCGGCGTTCATATATAAGCAGTTTATGCTTTCAATTTGGAACACGTGAGCTTCGTCCTGTTTTTCTGTATGAACCTTATGTGAATGGACAGGTAGCCCACCTATATGAGGTTTGCCGAGGTGGTAGGCCCTGTCCTTTACACGTTTTTTTTATCGTTTAGACAGTCCACAAGTGGAATGGTCAGCTCCAACTTGCCTTTGTTCTTGGTCCTGACTTTGTATGGCCTATCCGGGTGCATGTGGATTCCAGGTGGCAATCGACGTCTATTAGCACGAAATGCTTCCAGAACTGCAGCCGCCATGTGGGAAGATGGGAAGGTTATCTTCATTAGACGGGGTCTAAGATCACCGTCCTTCTTGGCTAGTCTCGTCACATGCTGAGTCAGTATGTGTTTGAGCCTCAAGGACTGTTTGATGAATTTCCATTCCCTGATGTCAGAATTTGATTCAGTAGGGTCTGCATTTTCCGGTATACCTTGGACAATTATGTTTCTTCCGCGGAAAAACTTCTCGCGAGATTCTTTAGGGACGTTTCGTATGATATTGCGCTCAGAGTACGGTATGTCGAGCAATATTCTTACGTTACCATCTGATTTCAGTAAGTGACTTGCTAGCAAGACGTCCTCTACGTCGGTAGCATTCTTAAGTGTTACTCGGAGAAGCCTCGGGTGATTTAGATGCTTAGAATCCTTTCCTCGAGTGAGCCGGGTGACCGTCAAAGGCTCTATTCTAGGAAGTTCGAGCTTCTTGTTCAATTCACCCCACAGCATCCTGTCGTTTTTATCCTGCAGACTGAGAGGAAGGTCAGGATTGTCGACGAGGTTCATGATAATGAGAGAATCGTCACGAACTGTTGTTAATTTACCAGGTTTCACGATGGGTTCACGTTTAATAACTTGTTGTTTGGAGGTCAGTTTGCGTTTATGAATCTTGGGCTCTTTATTGACCGGACGAACAGTCTTGGGGGTAGACTGTGCGACTAAATCACCAGTTATTTTCCGTGCAGCAACACTTGGGTTGCTCGGCTTAGGCGGTGATGCCTGGTTCTTTTGGGCTCTCTTAACGTGGGTCGAATCACCTGCAGTGTTTTTGGGAACCACAGTTGTGTTCAGGGACCCTGAGCTGGGAGACCCGAGTTTGCCTAGGGAGTCTAGTACCGTCGACGTAATGATGGTACTGAGCCTCGACACGTCATCATTAGTGTTGATGGATGCTCCATCGATGGTATACCTATCGACATCCCTATTTTTGAGTCCGTTGCGCGCTCTTGTTTGTATATCGGTTTTTTTACTGTCGTGTTCCAAGTTAACTGACAGCTTGTTCCGAAGACCTGTCAGTAGGACAATGATGTTACTCAGCAAGACTACTGCGTCCGTGTTGCACGTGACACATACCCATTTTTGGTCTGACTTGCTGAGTCTGTTGTAAGCAGTTGCTGTCAGATTTGTGCATGCTTCGTGGAACCAACCTTTGCAGTTGTCGCACTGCATGCCAGTTGTGACAGCAAAACGGCATCCCGGACGTTTGCATGAGTTCTTCATGACGGTGTTGAAGCAAACTATGTTATAGATGCTTGCAAAAGCTTAAAACCTTTTTTAAAAAAACACTAAAATGCACACTGAAAACGGACAAAAATGGACAAAACGAGTGATATAAACTGAAACTAGTCTATACGTGAAAAACAAAAAAAACCGAATAGTAAGCTGAGGCAAAACCACAGGTAACTATTAAATATAGTGAAACTCAAAAAAAAGTAATCTACCGAACGTATAGCTCAGGATAGATTCTTTAGAACTGAAATGGTACTTTTGTTGCGTAAGAACACAGCAAAAGTTTGATATATGCAAATCACGTTAGGACTAAACTTCCCGTTCGAAAAGCGTAGTCGTTTGTAGGTTTGTATATCTTGTAAACGGAGTGAGTGCATTTGTTT